AGCCATTCATAGATTGCTTTGTAGCATAGCTCAGAGAGGCAACAGAGTGTTTGCCAAAAGCCCCATATTACAGATGAGGACACAGAAGCCACACTAAGAAACAGAACCTGCCTGGGGTCAGATGGAGAAAGGACATGAGCTCCCACTCTCTTCTCCTGGTGTTGTTATCCCAACATATGGCAGTAACAACAGTGAATCTGACCTCAGCATCCAGGGACGGATGGGCAGGGGGTGGGGGAGGTGCGGGGGGCCAGGCCATCTGGGCACAAAGGATGCACCTTGGTCAGGAGGCCATATGTTCATGGTTGACTTTCTAGTAATGGAGGTGGCCCTGCACTGAGTCATCTGTAGTCCCTTGCCCAGCTGGTGAGGCAATCCAGAGCTGAGGATCAGAGCCAAGGTGTGCCCAGCCTTCAAGAGGACCAAACCTTATTAGCCCAAATGGCACAGTCTATAAATAGCCATGTTCAGAATCCCTGCAATTAAGCTGGTCACCACAGCCTCAGGGCCTGACCCCTGCCAGTCTCTCTCACCCTGGCTCACAGCACCCCCATCACTTCCTGCGCTCCAGCCGCACTGACTTCCCAGCACAGGGCTGACTCCTGCCGCAGGGCATTTGCACTCACCTCCCCGGAGGGTCCTGCCTCCCAGGCCTTCTCATCCAGCTCCCTCTTGTCATAGAAGTCTTAGTCATCTCTCCAGGGAGCCCTCCTTGACCATTAGATCAAACGTGCGCCCCTTCCAGTCACTCCTAGCCCATCACCTGGTGTATTTCCTTCTTAGCAGTTATCTTTTTCTGTCCTTGTGGGTGGACAAGCGCTGATTTCCTCTCTGCACACACAATTCCTAGCTCAGTCCCTGGTACCTAGCAGGACCTCAATTAATATTCGTAGCGTAAAGGAATGAATGAAACAACAAATCCACAAACCAGCAAACCAACCAGAATAGAAACAGATCCAGTCCCTGGTACCTAGCAGGTAAAGGAATGAATGAAACAACAAATCCACAAACCAGCAAACCAACCAGAATAGAAACAGATCTTCCAGTACAGTAGTGGATTTTTAAAAGAAAAAAAAAAATCCCCAGACACTATAGGGAATTGCAATTAACTGAAGAAACCAACTCTTTGTAAGGTAGCCTCCTTCCTTCCTGCTCCCTGAAACTTAAATTTGCCCTAACAGGAGGCTTTGACTCTAGGCTGAAGTACCAAAGGGATGCCCGTGTACCACCTCTCACCTCTCCCGGCTTTGCCAGCAAGGTGCTGGGCACACAATAGGGCCAAGTTTACAGGACTTAATTAAATCAGAGCATGATCTCTCCCCTTATAGGAATTTTCCAAGGAACAAAGTTTTAAGCCTCCAAGCTTCTCTTAAGATTTTTTTAATGAAATGCTTATTAAAACGAGTAACATGTTCTTCACATAGTAAGCTGACGACAATTTCATTTGCTCAGTGGTTTGGGGTGATTAGGTTCACTAATCATGTCTCCATCCTACAGCACAGGGATGCCCACAGTGTGGTGTGTGGCAACGTGGGCCCCCACGCTCAGTGGCTCCAGATCACTGTGCTGTGGTTTTACGCTTAGTATCGTTTTGTGTCTCCCCAGCTGTTAGTTATCACTTCTTGCCGCCCATCACTCCACAACCTCTACCAGCACTTCAGACGTGCTGTGACCTGGAAAACCAGACCCGTCACAACTGTGTGTAAACCAAGAAAAAACAGGCCCTGAATGAAAACCCATGAGCTCTCCTTTAAATAGGAGGCGTGGATGTCGGGTCATCTAATCTGAGGCTCAGGGAGCATTTTCCATCCTTCTAGGTCCAGCTGTGCCCCACAAGGTCAATGCTGGCTTGTCAGCAGCCTCCAGAGCAGCAGAGCACTGCCACGCCATGAGGAAGAGCTGAGACTACCTGAAGCCTCCCTGGTGCGGAGGTGCCGAAAGCACAGAACGCAGCCCTGCTCAAAGGGCTCCACCATAACGCCAAGTGGCTCTCGGTGAAGCCACGCCACTGAGCAGGGCTTTTACAGTTAGGTGAGATCTTGTGGTTCCAAACATGCTTCCCTCAGCTTCAATCTCCTTCATTTAGGAAAACAGGGCTCTCAAGGGTGCCTTTTGGGAGCAAAGAACCACAGTGCATGCTGAGCACACGTTTTGACAGTTACCAGAAAGGCCCCTGAGAGGCAGAATTTTCCAAAGCGAAACAGAACCCAGAGGCCCTGCACAGGGACTCACTGTGAAATCAGCTCAGATTCCAAATGCCTTGGAAGGATAGTTAGTGCCTCTTTCTCCCTCTCAGATAAATGATTTTTAAACAACAGGGCATAAAAGGGCTTTCCTTATATTCAATAACTTGAACTGCATTATAACAAATCTACTATGTTTGTGCATATGCATATTTATAGAAAAAAAAAGATGGAAAGTCTAGAAATCAAATGTTATTTAGTGGTTATCTCCAGGCACGGAAACATGAGGGGTTTTTTTCCCTCTTTACATTTTGGTTTTCCAATTTTCTTTTGTTGAGCATGCATGACTTTTATAGTTAGGTAGCTGTAAGTTAAAATTTTTTATTTGTCATGCAAAAAATAAAGCATCCTCTTTACTCTGTGTTTCCTCCTTTCAGTGTCAGCTGCACCTCCCAACGTACAGCTCTCGTGGGGTATGCTCAGATCACAGAGGCCTGGCTCTGTTTTGAGATGTTTTGCAGGAAAGCTGGATCTTTGGGAGCCTGTAGTGCTACCACACGGAGTCATAGCCTCTCTCGTGTCTTCTGCAGTCCCGGGAAATGGGATTGCCTGTATTCACATAGCCTTTCTAATCCCTCTGCTCCAGGGGTCTCATGGCACTTTGAGGAACAGTGAGGCTGCCTTGGAGATCTGTTGAGGGTTGCAGAGGGAGCATGGTCTCTGAAGGCTGGTGGACAGAGTGAATCTGGCGTCCAGTACTTTCTACTACCTGTGTGACTTTATGCTAACAATCACTTCGTCTCCCTGATCCATCAGCAAAATGGGAATAATAATACTCATTGGAGATTAAATGAGACAATTAGTGCTAAGTGTGGCATTGGGCTCTCTTAGATACTGATGCTCGATGGTAGATACTACTGTTATTACTGAGAATACCTAGAACACAGAGGTCAGAATAGATTCTCAACCCTGGCTGTACTTGAAAGTACCTTAATGAGCTTTTAAAAGATTCTGAGGTCTGGGGTGGGAATGGGGGTATCCCCATGTGGTTACAGCCACAAAAATTGCCTTTTCACCATACATTCCACTTCCTTTCCTTCCACAAATCCATTCCACAGCATCCTCTCCATTACCTCAAAATCACCACCTCCAGGAGGCCCTCAAGTCTCCCATGAGAACTGGAGTTCCTCCAGCACCCAAATTTGATTAGGAATTCACATGCAATTTGCACTTGCTGTCGTGTCACTTGGAAAGTGTACTGGATTGAATTATGTCCCCCCAAAACTCACAGAGGCTTGAATTGTCTCCCAAGTTTTGTGTATTAGAAACTTGGCCCCCACTGTGACTGTTAAGAGGGTGGGAAATCCTATTATGGTAATGGAAAGGTGGAGCCTTAAAGAGGTGATTGGATTGTAGGACTGTGCAGTAGTGAATGGACTAAAAATGGTGGTCAGGGGCATGGTTCTGAGGGCTTTAAAAGAAGAGGAGAGTCTGTCTCTCTCTCTGCCCTCTCTGCTTCCACCATCTTGCAATGTGAGACCCCTGGGTCACTGTTGCCACCACCAGATGGACTTTGGACTTCCCAACCTCAGAAACTGTAAGCAACAAATTTCATTTTTCTTTATAAATCATGCAGTTTGAGGTATTTTGTTATAAGCAACAAAAACAGACTAATACAGAAAGCATTCACAAATTACTTCTGTTTGTATCTTCCACCTGTATATTGGTTTTCTATCAGATGATGAGTCAAGATGAGGCCTCCTGGATGCTGGGATGGGCTCTGAGCTTCGTGCATGCACCAGGTGACCAAAAAAGGCCAAGCCTTGACAGAGCCAGCTGTTCTCAGAGCACAGACCCAGACCCCAGCCTCAGCAACCCCTGAGAGCTACCAGGAAGGCAGCTGCAGCCCACCTGGGAACCACTGAATTGAATAGGTAACTCAGGGGTGGGCCACAGCCATCTGTCTTAGCACTTCCTCTGGTGATTCTGGGCTTGCTCAAGTTTGAGAACGACTGAATTACATTAAAAGCTCATCTCTACCTGTACTGCCAAGCAAGACCTTTGCTTCCTCAGTAAGGATAAGGCCAGCACAAGTGTGAAATTTGTCTGTGGTCCACTGTCTACGAGTGTGTCTACCACATTTTATAAGAACGGAGGGTACCATGAATAGCCACATCTGCAAATTCATGTCTAAAACATCACATTCCCTTTGTCTATTACCTCTGGAATTCCTCATAAGAAAATTTGCCGGAAAACTAAAGTTTACCCCTCATAGGACCATTTTTAACACCTAATTACTCCTGCTTTCAGTGGCATATGCTGCCAAATGTTGACTTTTTCATTATGACTCAGGCCCCCCCCCCACGATGAACTAACTTATAGTCCTGGGCCACCAGAAGTAGGGGGAGGTGCTTGGATATTTGCAAAACAGCCCCAGGTTTCCTGCTACTTTGAGGCCTTGTGCTTGCTTGCTATTTTTTTCTATCTGTTCCCAACTTCCGCAGTTATCACATGTTGCTTCCTCACTGTGGGTTCCTCAAATAGCCCCAACCTCCCTTCTAACCTGGATCAAGAAGGTAGATAACCCTGCTGGTTTGAATTGTGTGGAGACCAAGAGTAAACAGGCCTGAGGGAGACTACTATGGGTCAAATCCTGTCCCCACTCTTTCACCAACCAAGGCCCCTCCACGCGCCTCAGCTGGGCCATCTGGATGAGATGGTTTCTGGGGAGTCTAACATTTGGTGTTTTACTGAATTCTTCCAGGTCTGGAATAAATGTAGGTGTTTAATCAAGGTGTAGGCAGGGAAGTCGGTTACCTGGTCCTGGAGTTTCTGAAACATCAGAGGGTGTGGTTCTTCCAGGATCTTTTCATTGAGCCGAGACTGTCCCTCTACGTTGACTTGTGACGAGGCCTTACTGGACAGAAAAGTCATGTAGATCTCCTTTGCCTTTTCCTGCATCTGGAGGAGACAGAGGGGGCCTGTTTGTTATCTGCGAGCACAGCCTTCCCAGCCCGAGTCCAGCTCTCCCTTCTGGCCAGGCCCAGAAGGAGCTGCTGGCAAGAGAAACAGCCCCACCTGCAGCCTGGGGGCTCTTGATGCTGCTGCAGAGCTGAGCTCTATCCGGGATGGCTCCTGACAGCCGAGCCCCCCCCCACCTCCCTCTCATGCATCTGTGGCCACATGTCCTGTAACAAAATTGCTACACTAACCACTTAGAAATGATGACAGGAAGAATCCTGGCCCAGGGTGGGCATTCGGTACCATTCAAGACCATCCTGTGAATTCTCCAAATTTAAGGGTTCATGGGAATACTGTTCAGTCATAACAAGGAATGAAGCACTGATACATACAACAACCTGGATGAACCTTGAAAACTTTATGCTAAGTGAAAGAAATCAGACACAAAATGCCACATGTGGTATGATTTCTTTCATATGAAATATCCAGAATAGGCAAATCCATAGAGAGAGAAAGATTAATGGTTGCCAGGGGATGGGGGGTGGAGAAATAGCGAGTGACTGCTTAATGGGTATGGGCTTTCTGTTCGGGGTGATGAAAAAGTTTTGCAACTAGATAGTGGGGATGGCTATACAATATTGTGAATATACTTAATGCCACTAGATGCCATTTTAAAATGGTTAAAAGGAGAGCACTATACAATTGTTAAAATGGTAAATTTTACATTATGTATATTTTACCACAATGAGAAAAACCAGTTAAGGCCAGTTAGCTCAGTTGGTTACAGCGTGGTGTTGATAACATCAAGGTCTATGGTTTCATCCCAGTACCAGCCAGCAAAAAAAAAAAAAAAAAATCAAGTAAAGACATGCACACATATCCCTACCAGTTATCAAGCACCTCCTATGCGGTAGACACATGCTAGGTATGGTCCCATTTCCTTAACCCCCCTGAACATCCAGCAAAGGCCATTTTCCTATCAGTGCCACTTTCCTGATGAGGACACAGAGGCCAGGAGAGGTGATGCGGCTTATCCAAGGAGCCTGCAGGAATACCCAGGACTGTTTGGCTCCAAACCTTTCAGTTCTGCTCAGTTCCACACCTGAGAGACACATTATCACCGCCAGGTTGTAGGGTTTGTCAGCCTTCCAGGGCAGGGTGTTTTGTTTGTTTTTCAGGTAACAAGATACTGAGTCTGTGCAATGGAGAGAAACACTCACTGCCCACCCTGAGGTGCCAAGTGCAGTCCTGTTGGGAAGAACAAGCAGGTACCAGCTGCCTGGAAAGTCTTAGAGGCAGAGTTGGAAAGATGCTGGCCACCTGCACTCCTCCTTGCACCCAAAACCAACTGTGGCTGGCACAGGAACACTCTGTTGGTGAGGAGCCAGACTTCTCGGTGAGTACTTTGTCTTCAAAACAGTATGCCTCATGGCAAAGCTGCAGCGGCAGAGCCTGCTTCTCCAGGACTTCCCCTGAGGGTTCTATTTTCTTTTAGAAAAAGGAGACTTCCTGCGCACCTATCTCTCCAGCAGCAAGGACAGGGGCTGTTTCTCTAGACGTTAGATCTAATCTTACCTTACGCTACAGAGTAAGGCAGATGATAAATGCCTCTGAAATGCAGCCACGCAGCTATGATGGGGGGTGGTGGGTAGATGAGGGGGCTTAGGAGGGGTCTGGAAAACTGCCTTTCTCTCCAGAGAGCCCACCTGGGGCTCCGCGCAGGCTGCAGAGCTTGCTTAGGAAATCTCAGGCTCTGAAAACCTCCTGTCCTTATGGAAACCACCAGAAGTCTTTGAAAACTGGTGCTTGAAGGCAGCAAAAAAGCAGTCCTTTTTTGGTTCCGGGGGCTAGGTGACAAGAGACCCTCCGAGGCCGAGGCCTGACCATCTCCTGTTCCTCCGGCAAAGCCAGCCTCGCCAGTGCTTGCAGAAAGACCGCCCAGGTGGGGTCAGCACCCAAAGCCCTGGTGTCTGTTCTTTCTTGATCATCAGTATGAACAGTTACTTGATGCCAGACTCCAAGACACACGGAGCCTGTCACAATAAACATGGGCATTCCGAGGGACAGGTCTGGGGACATCAGTGAGACCTGGAGGAGCTTGCCTCTCCAAGACCCACCTGCTCCATGAAGCCATACGCCTCCCTCCCACCACCTCCGTTCTGTTAGGAAGGAACATTTTCGGAAAACCACTTCCTGTTTTAAAGCTACTTCATAAAAGTGGAATTTCAGCCAGTCAGATTAGCAAACTGCATGCAGAGATCTGGAAGCAGAAATCACCTCCCCTCCCCTTGAACATTCACACACACGTACGTGCAGCACATGCATGCACACACACACATGCACACACGCACACATATGCATGCACACGCGTACATGCATGCACACGTGCACACACATGTTGACCAGGTGAGTCCAGGCTATACTGAGGGATCCCGAAAAAGAGAAGCATAATGAGGCTTAGGGGTGGGGGCGGAAGGGGCAGGGCGAGGAAGCAGGTTCCTGGGGACTGCGTGTAGCAGCCTCAGCAGACAGTGTCTCTGCCCTGCCCTCTCCCACCAGCCGCCCCCTCAGTCTCTGACGCCTAGGTCCCCAGGGCACCCAGGGACTGAGCATGCATGGGAAACAGCTGCGCCAGCACAGCTTATCTGGGCTGGGGTGGAAGCGTGACAGAGAAGGGAAACCCTGAGACAGCCGACCGCAAGCCAGTCACGGGAAGGCTGGGTGTCCAGGCGAGAACAATTCACAAAAAAGAAGAACCAGTCTCTTGAGCTATTTTAGTAGATTTTTCCAGAGCTTTGTTAACCCTATTCTCACTACTGTCAGGACAGGAACAGGACAGCCACCAGCTGGTGGAGTCAATTGTGGGTCTGTGACTTGCAAGGATGGCAGCTTCTCTTCCATGGCCTGACGGAGGTGCCAGCCACAGCCTGGACCAGAGAGCCCCTCCCTCCCCACGGAGAACAGACGCACCCAGCACCAACCCTGCCTAGAAAGTGCTGGAAGATGCCCCACCTGGGCCCATCAGCTCGGGCACTGCCTATAGGAGCACCTGCACCCAGGTGAGCTCCTTCCAGACACCCCACGAGTCTGGGCCTTTCTTCCAGGCCTGGCAACGTCTCGGCCATGACAACACTTGGTCAGAGGTCAGCTCTCGAACCCTGCTCCCAACTAATGTGTGTTCAGGAAAAGCAAACTCTTTCTTGTCAGCCCCAGAAACACACATGTACTCAGAACAGCAGTGCCCAGTAGCCCAAAGCTGAGAAGAGTGCTGCTCTGTGCATGGCTTCTGTCCTGCATCCAACAGCAAGCTCAAACTTTTCCTACCGAGAAAAGAAAACAAAACCTCCTCCGACTCCACATGGCCCTATAGCTAATGGCCTCCCCACCCCCCATGTCTTACTGAACGCTCTCGAAAGAAAGGCATGTGCCTCTTGTCCCCACTGCCTCCATTCGCTCCCCTACCCGGCCAGGCAGGCGTCCACCCGCCCTGCACCTCGGCCTCCCCCAGCTCACTGATGTCCTCCCTGCTGCTAAGTCCCCTGGACGGGTCTCTGGACCTCTCCGGCCTGTGGCCCCGCTCACCACTCCTACCTTCCTCCTCCTCCCGGTCCCTTGCCATAAGGATCCTGCCCTCTCAGGATTCCCCAACACCTCCTGTGTCTGCCTGTCTCCTTTGCAAGCTCCTGTCCCTGTCCCCTCCATAAATGCTGGGGTTTCCCAGAGCTCTGCCCTGGCTGACTTCTCTAACCACACACTCTCCCAAGATTTCAGCACAACCCTCTCCCCAAGCTGCCGACCCATGCAGCCAACTGATTTCTAGAAATATGGACACGGATGTGCCACAGACACCTCAAATTCAACATGGAGGAAAGAAGTGGTCCCCTTCTGGCCAGCTGGTCCTGCAGCCTCTACTCCAGGAAGCTGGAAACCGCAGTCCCCTTTAACAGCTCCTCACCCAACATCCTGTCTGCCACCCCGTGCCCCCCACGAACAAATCTCTATCAGCCTGTTCCTCTCCATTCCTGTCGCTCTGCCAGAGATGGGCAGCGGGAGGGGACACATAAAAAAATTAAAGGGACAAACCATTAGCTTTATTAATACCAGTTTCAGAAAGGGAATGAGGCAAAGAAACGATCAAAGAAATAACAGAATACTCCCGAGAACTGGCTAAGGACTGGAAAGCAGGTGCAGGAGCAGCAGATGCCTCTGCAGAGGGCACGAGGAACAAAGCTAAGCACCTGCAAGGCTGGGGACAGGGAACCAGCCAGAAGCATGTCCAAAGGTGGCAGGGACTCAGGGACATCGGGTGACCCAGACGACAGGATGAGGAGGGTGGTAGGAAGGAGCCATCGGACCCCACTCCCATCCCTGAACAGTCAGGTGACTATGCCCTCCCAGGAGACTGGAGTTTTCTAAAGAAATTGACTCAGGGGGGCCCCAAAACAGAGGCACGAAAGAAGGGAAGGAGAAGACTGAACACTGAATACGAAGGGTTAAGTGAAATCCCAGATACAGACCCCCAGCAAATGTCTCCCAGGCCAGTCGACTGGAGGTGTGTTTAGTTTATGAACATACCAGGCTTGTGGCCCCCCAACAAGAGACTAGAGGATCCCTGTCTGGAAAAAACAAAAGCAGAAAAAAATCAATAGGATTTGAAGAAAAAGTTGAAATCTCAAAAAAAAAAAAAAAAGGGGAAGCCAAAAGCCAAAAAGATGAAAAAAATAGGAAAGAAAGATAAAATTAAGGGCTTGATCCAGGGGTAAGGAGCCATCACTGGAAAAGAGACCAGAGAAAATGGAAGGAAAGAAGGTACTAAAATAACAGCGACGTAAGAACATTACCCAGAACTATGACATTCTACGTGATAAGGACCCACGAAGTGTCCTCACAACGAGTGAACCTCCCAAGACCTCGACGGTACAGTTTTAGAACACTGGTGACAAAAAGATCCTGTGCTATTCCATAGAGAAAAATGCAAAAGAAAACAAAACAGTTTACGT